ATATGCAAAAAAAAAAAACCCCCCCCCCCCCCCCCCCAAGCTAAAATGCAGATCCCGTGAAATCATATTGAATATGTTATTATTATTATTATTATCATCGTGGACACGACATCCATAATTAGATGAATAGTGTGAGAAACTATTGTTTGCAGAGATCTGTTTCTGAGTAGTGTAAGATGTTGGCAAATCAACAATACTACATGTATTAAAGAGGTTTTTTTTTCTTCTTTTCGATCTGTCTTGTAGTATTAATGAATACTACTGAATTTACTGATAGCGTTTCTGATCAGTCTTCTTGTGGACAGTCTGTTACTCTCCGTTTCAATTTATTCGTGTTATGTTTTTTAGGTCTATTTAATTTTGTTTTATTTTCTTTTTTGATAATTCTTTTAATTCTATCTTTTTCCATGATAGATTTAAAATCATAAGATTAAAGAATATTTTTTCAAGTTCAACACCACAAAATTTGAAAGTTTCTTTGTATTTTCTTAAAACTTCGTGTGTAGCTCAAACCAGACAAACACAAAATTTGAAAGTTTCTTTGTATTTTCTTAAAACTTCGTGCGTAGCTCAAACCAGACAAACAAACTGAAACGACGAATGTAGTAAAATAATACCTCCCCTGTTCCAATTTATGTGGCACTTTTTATTTTTTCAAGAGTAAACAATTTATGCTTAATTGGAAATTTGCGCATGAAATCTTCAGATTTTTGAAATAAAATTTATATATTTGTAAACTACGTAAAAAGTACTGTAAGTCACAATGATTAACAATTCAAAATATTCAAAAGCTATATGAAAAAATTACGATCAGAAATAAACTTATTTGAATCTCGAAATTTGAAAAGTATCACATAAATTGAGACAGAGGAGGGAGTAAGAAGCTTCCCATCTAGACTCACAAGATGACTAGAAATGGCAAAACTGATCAATCAGTTTCCTAGCTTTATTCTCTGTTTAATTCTTTTCTCATGAAATAAATTGTCTTCTTCCAATGTTTTACTAAAATCTCCAAAACAATTTATATTCACTCCAAACAAGTTATTAAACAAATCTTCATGAAAATTTGATGAATTGTTGTGTCATAAAAAAAGAAAGAAATATTATATATGCATGGATGATGGCATTGATTTGACAAGTAACTGTGATATACTATAACAAAGGTACTTGTCTAGTTTTCACCTCATTATCCAAATTGGAAAATCTGACCATGTATGTAAATAAGCCCTGCAAACCATAGTATAAATGGGTAAATATTTACTCCACGTTAAATCATATTGATTTATCATATGATTAAACGATTCATTGAGGTGAGAATATATATGGTAATATTTGTGTTGTAATTATAAACTTAGCTAGCGTTTGGCCATAGATTTCTAAATATATTTGGCAAATATTATTTGGGTGAAGATTTGGGTGAAATTTCACCATGTGTTTGGCCATAGTATTTGGGAAATATATTTCAATTTTTTAAGAAATATGACTTATGCCCATAAGTTTTTAAAACTATCAAAACTAACCATAAATTTGTATTACATAGCAAAATAGAAATGTCGCGTAACAAGATTCATGACTTCCGCAACAAATCAAAAAGCATCATTACAGTAAATAGTCGCATCGTTAAAAAAGATGCATGGGTATAAAAGCTCTTGTACATGTATGCTCTTTATAATAGAAAAATTTTATTAATTGAGTTAGTTAGCAGATGAAGATTTGATTGAGTTGGTTGGTGTTAATAAATAAAGTATTTTTGTAAAAGATAAAAGTTGGTGTTAAAATTTGAATTTTTAAAACTTTCCAAATAATGAGATTTGGCCCAAATACTAGAAAAAACTAGTATTTGGGAATTTGGGTTATTTGCCAAAATAATTTGCCAAATAATGAGAAAGTGTTTGGACAAACAATATTTGCCAAATTTTTCCCCAAGTTTTACTTGGGAAATCTATGGCCAAACGGGCCCTAACAGTTGTGGTGAAATGGAATTTGGGTTTGAGTTGTGGGCAGGGGCGGACCTACCCTTACTCAAGGGGTGTCAAGCGATATCCTTTCGTAAAAATATTATATTGTATATAAATGTTAAATTTTAATTTAATATATATCATGTAACTACGATTATTAAGAAATCGTGATACAAATACACTATCATGTCATCTTTATCTGTTACATATATAGGTAACAAATCTAATTTGTAAGATTTCAAATTCCACATTTTAAAAGAAACTTTCCTAAAAATATTTTATGGACACTCTGGTAGCTAGTGTAAATTTTTTATAAATATGTGTAGAAAAGTTATAAGAAATTAAAGCTTACTGTAAATATTGTGTGATATGTTTCACCACTACAAAGTCCTTAAAAAATAGGGATATTAATTAATTAAGGAAAATTACCAAATTATTCCAGCATGTTCAAGTTAGAAAATGAATATTACAAGGCATTTGATGATTAATTATATGATTAGCAAATCCAAGTAGAAGCCAGGAGGAAATTAAACCAACAAATTAAAGAGAGAGAAAAAATTAAAGAAATATTAAGCACATCAGACCAACATATATGAAGAAAGAAATCTCAAAAGAATATCTAGAAATAATTAAACATTAAGATATAAATAGATCCAAATCTAATCTCCTAGGATTAGTCAACTTCAATCCCACTAAATTCCACAAGAAAATAATAATTAATCAACTAGCAGCCTCAATAAAACAAAAATACCATAGTCAAATTTAAACCACTTACCTCCTACCACAAATTCTTCTCTTTTCTCTCTTCAGAAATATTATCGTGAAACATGCAATACTACACTTTTAAAGAATCCGAGCAACATAGCCATCATCAATTGTATCATGAATATTTGGCACATGTCTTGATGTTTCACAATATGATATTCTCCGTTCTTCTTCATTCTTGATTTGGAAATTATTATAACATGATGAACTCAGTGAATTCATTTCCTTTTGCTTCTTGTTGTAATAAAACATTGAACCATTTTCATCATTATAATTTGTAGTACTACTCTTCATGATTTTTTCTCCATTTAATTTACGTAATGTACCGATTAAAACTGCGTCGCGCGCTTCAATCCATGCTCTCTCATCAGCCCAAAATTTTTGTTGTTTTTCTAACCTAATTTCCTCTTTTTTCCTCCATTCTTCTTCCCTTAAAACCCTCTCTTGTTCCTTATCTTCAATTGTCTTCATCATTTTCTCTAACCAAATATCTTGTTTTTCCATTAATTTCCTCATTTGTATATCCATAAAGTCTCTTATCTTACCTTTCCAACTCCTTTTCCCTTTTTTCTTAATATTCTTCCTCTTTGAATCATCATTTTCATCATTAGACGAATTATCTGAGTCATCAGAATCAGAGGAATCATAGAGATTGTTGTCAGAGAGCTTAGGACAATGATGAGGTTCTTGATTGTAGTGTACTTGATGATGAAATGTGTTTGTATTAATTGTGTTGCTTGTTTTACCATAAAGAGCTTCAAGTTGTCTAAAGTATCTATAATGTTTACCATCTTGTCTACCAGCTTTCCCACCTTTAGTCTTCTTGTAGTATTTGTACAAATTCTCAAATTTTTCCCTACACTTTTTCCCACTCCTTTGATATCTATATTCCTCAGACATAATCCTAAAAAAGATGAAGAGGAAACTAAATAAGTAGCATAATTATAGAATATTATGATATACTTAATATCTTGTCTATTTTATTCTATATAACGTTGTTTGACTAGATACGAAGTTTCAATCTAGAAAGAAAGACTTGTCACACATAAACAAAACCCATAGAACTTATAAACCGGTCAGGTAGGTGTGTTCATGCAAAAATCGAAAAATTGAACCAAATCATAAAGATAACTTTTTTTTTAAAAAAAATTGGTTTTGTTTTAAACCAAAAAAATAAAAAGAATCGAATCAAACCGACCATGGTTATAAAAGCATGTTATTAAGGGTACACCCATGAATATTTTGGTTTGATTTTAGTTTTAAGTAATTGTTTTATTTTTTAAAGAAAAGAACGGAATTTAGTTTAATGTGGTTATAAGAGTAAAACGAGACATTTAAAGTTACTCATTTAGAAAATATAGTGTCATATAAATTAAAACAGAGACGATGAAGAAACTAAGGAAGGAGCCCTAAAACCAAATGATGCAACAAGTTCAAGTGATATTGACATAAGCATGATAAAATAGGGTACTTGGCCTTCCAAAAGATATTCTGCCATTTTTTCTTTAACTAAAATGAAGTAAAAAAGTGTCCTTTGAATTAATAAGACTACTCATTCTCAAATTATGTGCTGATAAATTATCAGAAAAAAAGATAAAAATAAGTACACCTCATTCTTCAACTCAAGTGTCATTTTCTTACACAAAAATAGTAACCAAATTAATTAATTCACTCAAGAGTCTGCTTGCCTATCCAGAAATTAAAAACCCTCACATAAAAGAATCTCATAATTTGAAAATAAATGAGGAAGAAGAAGTAATTAAACTAGTATATAGTTAAATTTTGGTGCTCTAACATGTATAAAAAAAATTAGTGAAATTCTTTTATCGAAAAATTATAAAGTGTGTAGAGGATTATTTACTTTTTGTACATGTATATTACTACGGTATATTTTAAGTATCCTGAGTAAAATTCCTGACTTTGGCTATGATGGTTTCAACAAGCTATTTCTCATAGATTTCACCGAAAATTCCATTAAAAATACGACTGTTTTGTAGTAGTATTAGTAATAATAATAATCATTAGACATAATATAATTAAGTAATTCAAAATACACTGTCACACAATTTGTTCATCGAAAGTGTGTTTTTTAAGAGAATTAGGTTATATAAATAGTGATTTAAGTATCAGAAATCTGCGGATTTTCCAAGAATGTTCAGAATACTGTTGGAAATAGTGAAGAGTTATTAGTTGAAAATCTTAATCGAAAAATTATACCGTGAATATAGAAGATTATACTAAATATATGGTCCAAAATTTACTTTTTGTACATGTATATTACTACTACGGTATATTTTAAGGCACATCCTTAGCAAAATTCGTGACTTCACCTCTGTTAGTTTCTACAAGCTATTTCTAACATATTTCATTAAGAAAATGAATATTTTTTAGTAGTAGCAATCGCGAGAAATAATATAATTAAGTAATCAAAAGTACTCTGTCACGCAATTTGTTTTAAAAGAATTAGGTTAAGAATTTGTGAGAGATGTACCTAGAGACTTCATCCCAAAGGGGACCTTTTTGAATAGCTTCTTTGAACTTAGAATCAAGTTGTGATCTAACTTCAAGTAGTGTAAGTGTCTCTTGCCTTGGCCACCTCCCATTTCCACCCTCCATCTCCAGCGCGCTTAACGTGCACCCACCACTAACACTAGCTCCAGTGGCAGCTGCCACGGTGCTAGATTCGGGAAGAAACCCGTGATGATAATGATAATGATGATGATGAGGAAGATAGTTGTCGTGTTGAGGCACATGAGTAGTAGTTGTTGTAGCAGTAGTAGTAGCCATTAACATATCGAAATGTTGGTTACCACATAATAAATCTGGTGTCAGATTTGGTGAAACTGAAGGAAATAAAGGCCTTCCATTTAGGTACTGTGTTAGATCCATCATACCATACTGATGATCATCCATTTCTTTCTCCCAAAAAAGCTGCAGCGCAGTATTTGGGTAAGAAGATGGATGAAGAGGAATTAAAATTAGTGGCTTAAAATCAAATATTAATAAGAAAAGTGACAGAAAGCAAGAGTAATGAGATGATAATAGAAGCGGCAGACCCGGATCGTGTCGAATTAAAAAAGTTTATTTTTTTAGTATTTGAGACTATATAAAAAGGGGAGCTATAAAGGAATGAATTTATATGGACCCATTTCTCACTGTTCACAGGCAGCTGGAATGTAAAAGCTTGTTCACTTTTTTTTTTCTTTCTGTTGCTTCTGGACGTACATGCAGAGGTGGAGCTAGTAAGGTCTCGGGGTTCATCTTAATCTTTTTTGATGAAAAATTATTGAAAATATCTTTGAATTTGAAGTAATTATTAGTTTCGTCTCTGAACTATTGACCGTCTAATTAAAAAATATCCATCTACTTGGTTAACTAAACTTAAATACATTTTTGATCTGCCACATGACATAACAAGTGGTCTAAAATAGCAAGATCAGAGTGTATTTAAGTTCAGTTAGTCAAGTAAAGAATGTTTTTAAGACTGTCAATAGTTGAAACCAAACTAACACCAAGTTTTCAATACTTCTATCTTATTTGTATTTTGTTAAAATAGATTTTTATATAAAAATATCTTGAACCTATTTAATGAAAATTTTGATTGTGCAATTACGAACGTGAATAAATATTAATGCACTACTCATATATAAATTCAGCATTAATTTGTTCAATTACATTTTTTTGTTTTTTCTACTATTAATAATAAAAATTAATAGAGGAAATGCTTAGGGTTTTGGAGGTAGCTGAGATAATGAAAATGATAGTAGAAGCAGAGTACTTTCTATTTTATATAGTTACGTTACGCCTTATTGTAGTAGTGTCCTTGTATATAATTAATCACACAAAATGTGAAGTACAAAATCTTGAAGAAAATACACAAATAAGAGTGAAAAAGTCACTATATTTTATTTAGGAGGAGTTTTCGCATATAGCCATTCAAAATAACTTAATTAGGCTCAATATCTGTAGTTTGCTAATTACAATTCGTAGCTACATGTTAGAGGGAGGAGAGAGGCGAGTGATATTGGGAGAGGGAGGAGAGAGAGGCGAGAGAGAGAGGGCAGAGGGCAGAGGGTGGAGAAAGGTGATTTGTATTTGTATATCGGTTAGATAATTGTATATATGCAACTAGTATGTATATGTATCAATGATTGTATTTGTACATCTGCATAGAATTTGTATCGGTATACAATTGAATCGAGTTCAAACATTTGTATTTATATATCCAGTCTCTCTCTCGCTTTATACAAGCACAAATTATACATTTGTATTTCCTTAATCTTTATTAGCAACATATATACATGTGGTGCAGACGTAACACACGATAAGATCTAAAATAACCTATACAAAAATATTCTTATCGTTAACTATATAAGCAGTTCATATCGATCATTAGTAATTCAAAAATGCTTTCCAAACTAATGGTTGCTCCAATTCAAAAGAAAATTGATAAATTTTGCCCCTGAACTATTTGAAATGAGAGACTTCTATTCGCGATCATTAGTTATTATCAACCTCAAACATTTGAAACTAATGAAATTGTGTCGCTAGTCATTTTTAACGTATCATAAATCATCCCTAACAATTTTTTTCTATTTGTTTTGTGATCATTCTAAAGTCATCCAGCTTGACAATGTCAAGAAAAAGTTCTTGAAATTTGAAGTGACGTTTGAACATGAATTATATTTAAAAGAAAAATTAAAGTTCTGTGAATGAAAGTGATTTAGGTCGGATTTTGGTAAATTTTCAAAAGCTAATCAAATTTTACAAAGAAATAATATTTTCAATTGTTTTTTGAAAATCAACCTCAAAATCTATAAACTACGAATAAAAAAGAGTGACCACACAAAGAGAATTTATGTAGCATATCTATAGAGAATTTGTCTGAATCCAATATTTTCAATCCTGAATATAAACTTATCTATAAGTTTCCAAAAAATTACAAATACTAACTCATAACTTTAAAAATATAATAATTTTAATCCCAAAATTCTTAAATATTAAACTCATAAACAATTAAATTCTGAATATGCTCCCGAGTGGACCTGCTTCCCTACTTGAAAGTAAATCTCCCCCCAAAAGAAGAATCCAAACCGCCCAAAATCCATGGCCAATCAAAAGTAACCACCCACCCACCTAAGTGTAGTACTCAAAGCTGCCTTTGTCTCCCTTTCATCAAACACATGAATGAAAAAAAAAACGTAATTGAATTTCTTAAAATAAATACAATGTATGTCAATAGGAACTTCGATGGCTTGATTTGTTGGTGATGTCTCAGTATAGGAAAAAGAATAAGGATAAGTTGTTTCAAGCTATGAAGTCTGGATACATGTATGAAAGTGCTTCACATCAAACGAGTTAAATAAGACTTTAAAATAAACGTGACTAATGCAATAAGTAGACAAATAGCACTCCGTGTAGATGATTGTTTTCTTATAAAAAACATGAACACTTAATCACAATTTCAGTTCCCGCTAAAACAATTTTATCTGATCTTCATTCATAAATAACATAAACAGACATCATCTAAGTTCAAAGCTATTTCTTAAAATATTAATTTTTGAATAAGTTATTTATATCAAATACAAAATTTTGGCCTAAACTACTACTCCCTCCGTCTCATTTTATGTGACGCCTTTTGACTTGACACATTGTTTAAGAAAAAAATGAAGATTTTTTGAACTTATGATCTAAAACAATCCTTGAATATTTGTGTGATAGTAATTCATTTCATTAAGGGTAAAAGGGAATTTTTCAAGTTAAATCATTTTCAATTATAGCAAGATGACATTCTTTTTGAGACAGACTAAAAAAAAATGTCACATAAAATGAGACGAAAGAAGTAAAATATATCGAATTTGTAACTAAAACTCTAACAACGTTCTGAATGAAAAACTTCACATCTCTGATGACTTGTTGATGAAGAGAAAGTTGTTACATAAATTACGCCCATGCATTGACATTGTGATAAACATGTGGACAATGTACTTGGCTTTAACTTGCAGAAGACAGAGCTAGCTAGCACAAGTAATCAGTAGTTACTTTTGAGTACTGGTCCATATTCACTATTACGTACGATAACAACATACTCCGTAAAATTTCACAAATAATATAAGAAGAAAGACTATTTGCACTAAACTAAACTAAATTCCACATCACCTTTTCTCCATAGTTAATTATTAAAGTTGAAATGAAATTTAAAATATTATAGTACAAAGATGGTGCTATTGAAAATAATAATAAAGTTGCATAATTGAGGGCCTACTATGTGACATAGAAAGGTTTATTATTTTATTATATACATCGATAAAAAACGGGTATGAATTTTGAAAGCTGTGGGAGGGGACTATGTGCTTGTTTTTGCATAATAGGAAAGTATACCCTACTCACTTAGCTGGCTTTATCTGTATTTTTCGTTTCAATTTGTGTGATGATATTTGATAGATTAAGAAATTTAAGAAAGAAAAGGTTTTTTTTTTATAAAATTATCGTTTAAAATAAGTTATAAATATTTTCGGGCTATAACTCATTTTTATTAAAGATAAAATAAAAATGTAAGGTTAAATTGTATTGTATACAATATAAATAGATGATATTCAAGGTTTAACATTATAGTGTATGGTTTTTAGGTTTGGATAGATAGACAGTTTTACATTGTAAATGTCTAGCTTCGTAAATTGATATTAATTAAGTGATTTTATTGATATAAAATAAATATAAATGATTTTAATGGATAATTTATTAATTTGGACGACCATATAAGTTATTATAAATTTGATCGAAAAAATCGAGTTGATGGTGTTTGTACTACATATATAGAGTATTAGTGAAGTTGTTGGAATTCCTTTGCTTTAAATAAGATATCTCGAATTCAAATTTCAAGCATGCACTATAAATGGAATTTTTTTTCGATAGAAATCGAATTACTCTCTTTTGTGGACTCACTTAGCGTGAGGTTAAATTATTCGAGTTAGTAAGTTTTGAATATCAGATAATTGAAAAGAATTGGTTACGTCTATGACAAATGGCTTGTCTAAAAGAGGATTTACTTCGTTCAATTCCCTAACACCAAATTAACTAACTACCTCATGTATTTTGGACATTGATTAATCTAATTTTCTTATATGAAACATTTACATTAGGAAATTTAGAAGAAGAAGAAGAAGAAAAAAAATACTTCATGAGAGTTTGTTTGGTCATATATAATTTTTAGAAGAAATTGGAGGACTTTGTCTGCCATTTAGAGCTTAATCAAGAGCCTTGTCCTTCTTAATATAATGAAAAATTGACAATGATAAGGATCATTGCCCAAAAATTAAAAAAAGATACACCTTCATAATAACTTTTTACCAACAAATATACAAACATTATATATGTTAAATCCGTTTCAATTTATCTGACATATTTAACTTTTAGTTTATTTATAAAATAAATAACACATTTATAATTTTAAAATAATTAAATTTACACATTTTATTTCATCGTTAATGAACTTTTATAACCATAAAACATAACATGTCAGGTTTAAAATTACAAAATTACCTATATAGCTATATAACTATAAGACTTCAATCTTTAAAACCATAAATTTTATAAATTTGTATTTTTTTAGACTCCATACTAATTCAACAAAATCATATCACATAAATTGGACTAAAATGAATATCAAGAAAAATTAACATTTTTTTAAATTTTGTATTCACCTCCAGTATCCATTTGGAGCCAGTAAATTCAAATTGTATTGAAAAATCCATATTAAAGATAAAACGCTTCTTAACAAAGATGATTACATATCAGAAATTTAGTTTGACAGGTCTCTATCAACACATGTTTCGTGGGTCCAAATTAATATGAGATTAAGAATTTCTAAATATTTAGGACCCACAAAATCAAGACTCCACCAAATTAAAGATGCTACTAATTAATCAAACAATAAGTATGTTTATTGAAAAAGTTTAAAGTTAATAAACAAACCTTAGTTCTTATGGATCGATGGGATTATTCAGATTCATCCAGAAATATTTGGTAGGGTCCTCTTGTACAAATTTCATAATGGATTAAGATTTAATCAAGACCCTATCAATT